TAACCAATGTAAAGACCTGGACAAAATGCAGTCCTTTAAGGTTTGACTGCTTCTTCTTTTTTCTTGGAAGATTCTGGCATTCCTTTCTTTCCATACTGTCCATAACAATGCTGCTCGTGAGCATCTCCACATTTTCCTCTTTTATGGGAACAAGCATCATTTGTCAATAAGAAACATATGCTTGGCCCGAAACATAGATTTGGTGAATAGATCTACGAGTTGCAGGCGAGAAGAAACATGGGGAAGAGAAATATGGCTACCAATCAGGAGATCTCTAATAAAATGGCAACCCACTTCAATATGTTTAATACATTCATGGAAGACAGAATTGGATGCAATCTTGATGGCACTCATGTTGTCAACAAAAAGAGAAATGGAGGATGAATGACCAATGCCTATATCATGGAGGAGAGCTTTGAACCACACAATTTCATTGCATACAGGGGACATTGTGTGATACTTTGCTTCTGTGGACGACTTGGACATAGTTTTTTTTTTTGTTTCTTGCATTTCCAGGAGATTAGAGAATCACCAAGGAAAATACACCACTCGGTAGTAGAGTGGCGTGTGTAAGCAGAGAATTAGATGAGGATGAAAAAACAAACCATGACGGAAAAGTGAGAATGTCGAGGAGCAGAAACAAACTGACTTACTGGTTGAACAACATAAGAGAGATATCCACTCTAGTCATAGTTAGGTAGATGAGGCTGCCCACAAGCTGCCGATATAGAGTGGCATCAAGGAGCAACTCACCAACATCCTTGCTTAACTTCAAGTTGAGTTCCAAAGGAGTGTCAACCTGCTTAGAGTCTGTAAGACGGATCATCTGCACAAGATCGGAAACGTACTTTTGTTGGTTGACAAAATACCCTTGAGAGGAGCTTTTAATTTCTAGACCCAAAAAATAAGTGACTAGCCCAAGATCTTTCATTTTGAAGCTGTTACTGAGAAGGACCTTCAATTTATGAATCCCACCCACATCATCCACAATGATTAGGATATCATCCACATATACCAAAAGAAGAGTCAATCCTTGGGCCCTCTTGAGGGTGAAAATAGAATAATTAGAAGAACTCTGTTGAAAACTGGATTCCAAAACAATTGAGCAGAAATGTTCAACCAAGCCCGGGGAGCTTATTTGAGCCCATAAATAGATTTCTTTAGTTCACATACCAAACAGGAATCATCACAATACCCAGGGGAGGCTTCATATATTAGTCTCCTTTAAGAGTCCATGAAGAAAAGCATTTTTAACATCCATTTTATGCACAATCCACTATATAATAGAAATGATGGCCAAAAGAAGATGAACTATAATTATCTTTGGCCATAGGAGCAAAAGTTTCATCATAGTCAGTGCCATACTCTTGTTTGTACCCTTGTGCAACTAGACAAGCTTTATCTATCTAAGGTGCCATCAGATTTGAGTTTCACTGAATAAACCCATCTACTACCAATGATAGATACATCTAGAAGAGGAGAGACATGGTCCCAAGTGTCATTTTCCATTAAGGCTTAAATTTATGCCTCCATAGCATTCTTTCCAATCCTTCACAACCATGACTTGGTGATAAGACTTTAGAATGTCTATAGAGGACAAAATAGTAGATACAGAGCTATGGTTGGGGGAGAAACCATAGCTGTTAGGATGAGAAATACAAGTGGAGCAACATAAGGAAACATGAGGCCTACAAAATATGGATTGGAAATGTAATGTGGATTTGACTTCCATCTGGAAGGAATTGGATCACTATCAAAATATGGATTGGAAATGTAATGTGGATGCTGAGGCCTACAAGTCTGGTTTCTCAACAGCAAGTTTTTACCTTTCTTTTGGGGCTGAATCCTGTGTATGAATTTATTAGGGTTCAGGTATTGGGAAGTAAAGATCTCCCATTAGCATTCAGGAGAGGTGCAAACACAAGTAGTGGAAGTTCCTTTAAGAAGGACGATTCTTAGAAAAGGGTGGATGAGAAAGATAAACTATGGTGTACTCATTGTCAGTGGTCTTGTCTCTTAGGCTGCCGGTTTGTCATCCAAACTGGCCACTAGGCCTTAATCACCTTCTAGACCAGAAATTTCACACTCAAGTAGTAACAATGGATGTGTAAGTTGATGGGGTTTGATTACTTAACTCACCATAACTTTTTAAAACGTCCAAAACTCACCATGTCAATGAGATAACAGTAACTTGACTAACGGGCATCGTTAATTTACTATTTTAACCTTCATTATCTCCTGCTTTCTTTCTTCATCTTCGATGGTTTCTCCCTTCACTCTGCTGCCAACGGCGATGATGATAGCATTCCTGGAGCGATTCATTCATGAAAATGAAACTGAAACAAGCCCAGGAAACGACGACGATGCAAGCCTATTAAGAGTGATTCCTCCACACCGTTGTTGTTGCTAAGGATTTCGGCGGTATCGTTGAAGCAAAGCCGCTAGCAGTCATCAGGCCAGCCTCTCGAGATGACGTAGTTAGAGTAATTAGAGCGGCTTCCAGGTCTGCCCATCTCACGGTCGCTGCAAGGGGTAACGGCCACTCCATCAATGGCTAGGCTATGACGAACAGAGCAATCAAAGCGGCTTCCATGTCCGCCCATCTCACGGTCATTGCAAGGGGTAATGGCCACTCCATCAATGGCTAGGCTATGACGGACAGAGGGCTGGTGATCGACAGGGGGTCCATGGAAACTCAGATTGAGGTGGTGAGGTTTGGCGACTCGGCTTACGTTGACGTCGGAGGGGGAGTGCTGTGGGAAGATGTACTCAAATGGTGTGTACGGGCTTCCTCTTCAGACCAGAAACATTTCAAACGCTCATGAGGCTTCAGACTCCGATGAGCTGGGTTTAACTTATCTGCATTCATTTTGTGAAAAAATCCTTACTCATGAACTCTGAAAACAGTATTTTTTTTTTGTTTTAACTAGTGGGAATTGAATTTTGCTTCCAGAAATCGAAATAATGAAGGAAAGGTTTTCTAAGCTCTTGTTGGGAGAGGACATGTCTGGGAGTGGGAAAAGCGTCTGCACAGCAGTTGCAATCTCGAATGCCATAACTATCAATTCCATCTCTCTCCTCTTCTCCTCCTCACCCTCTTGTAAGGCCAGCAACCTTGCATTGCGCAAAGACAGTCCCATAGGAGTCGAAGTTGGGGGAGTCCTTGCCTTTTCTGCCTTTTCCCTTTCATTAGTCGATTTACACGAAGATCGGCAAGGAAGGAAACAGTTGAACTCGGCCCCGAAAACTCTTAGAGCCTCGCAAAGTGACAAAGGGATATGAACCCATCTCTGATTTCTGTGCAGTAAGTACTCCTGATGTTGCTGCGGATGAACACCGTCCTGGATTTGCTTTGTTCTTCTGAAACTCCTATTCCTACATCGCTTCGAACGTGGATTTGTTCTGTTCTGGATTTTCTCTGCTCTGGATTTGCTCTTCTGTAACTCTGTTCTTATTCTTCCCATGTTTCTTCGTCTTGACGCGAACTTGGCCAATGCAGGTGACTTTCGGGGACGAGGGTTCGGCAGTGTCAAATGTGGAGCCTCTCTTCTTTTTTCCTGTTGGGTACATGGGCGACGCTTGCCCACCTCTCATGTTGCCATGACTTCTAAGTCTTCTGCTCAACGACGACGAGAGAGACGGGGGTTCTAACGGGTGGTGAGTTTCAAAAAATAAAACTTGGGTTATTGAACTTGGGTCATTGAACTTTGGGTCATTTGGAGAGACGAGGGTTCGGGTGTCTCGCTCACCATTTTGGGGCAGTTTAGTCATGAAACATGCATTTAGGTTGACGTGGACAACTTGGGTCATTGAACTTTAACGGTATTCTAATGGATGGTGACTTTTAGAAAATAAAATCTCACTGACATGGTGAGTTTTGGACGTTTTGAAAAGTTATGGTGAGTTTAAGAGAATTCATAAAAAGTGATGGTGGGCTTTGGACAATTTCCCATATAATAAAAACCCGACCGTAGCAAACCGAGTGGTGGATGCTTTGTCTAGGGCCCATGAGCTGGCCCAAATGGGAGTAGTGCAGCCTAGTTACCCAGTCCTGGATCTCCTGAAGACCAAGGCCCAAGCAGATCTGAGTTTACAATATTTTAGAACCAAATGGGAACAAAGCCCAGCTTTGATGCCTGGTTATGATTTTCATCTTTTTTATAAAGGAAGGTTGGTTTGTTTATCTCTCCTAACTTCAATACATACCAGAAGTTCCAAGGCTCTTCCACAGCTCACTGGAAGACGAGATTTTGCAAACCTAGATTAGTTTCCCACTATTACTGGGTGGGAATGAAGACAAGATTTTGGGAATTTGTGATTCAATGTCCAACTTGTCCCACTATTATTGGGTGGGCATGAGGTGCAGTCACCACAGTGTTGCTACTGTCTATTACAGCCATTGTTGGTTCTGGAACAGGTTTGGGAAGAGGTAACTATGGATTTCATTATCGGCCTTCCTACTTCAGCAGGAAAATTTGTGATAATGGTTGTCATTGACTGACTAACCAAGAACGCTCACTTCTCATCCTTGCCCCATCCCTACGGTGCTGCTATTGTTGTAGAGGTTTTCATTCGAGACAACCAAATTACATGGTACACCAAGGGCAATAATTTCAAACAGGGACCCAGTCTTTCTCAGCCATTTTTGGAAGGAATGTTTCAAGTTATAGGGATCCAAACGCCTACACTCAACGAGCTATCATCCTCAATCTGACAGGCATTCTGAGGTTGTAAATTGCTGCATTGAGACCCATCTAAGAAGCTTCATAAGTGACTGCCCAAAGCAGTAGGTCAGGTGGCTTTCTTGGAGGCTGATCTATGGTACAACACATCTTTTCATTCTTTAGCAAAGATGTCTCCATACAAGGCCCTATATGGCAAGGATCCCCTTTCCATTCTGCCTTATGAATGAGTCTCTTTCTCTGTAGCTTCCATCGATGAGTATCTGACCTCCAGAGATGAACTCCTCAAGACCTTCCAGAACCATCTCCTGCGAGCACAACAATTGATGAAAACTAGTTATGACAAGCATCACTAAGCAGTTGAATACCAGGTGGGAGAAGTAGTATACCTGAAATTGCAACCATACTGCCAATCATCCATTGCTAAAAGAATCTGCAATAGGCTCTCTCCAAGATTCTATGGTCCTTTTCCCATCCTGGAGAAGATTGGAGGTGTGGCTTATTGATGGAAGTTGCCTGTACATCCAGTCTTTCATGTGTCTCTGCTCAAAAAATACTTAGGTCCCACAAGTGTTGCTTCTCCCTCACTTCCCCCTCTCTCTGATGAAGGGGAGTTACAGTTGACCCCCCTACAAGTCTTGGGTTATCACTGGATCAAAGATGGTAAGCAGATCATCTAGGGAGCATTGATTTCTTCGGCTGGGTTACCTCTGGAAGGTGCCACTTGGGAATCCTGTTCCAGACTCAAACAGAAATTTCCATCTCTTGACCTTGAGGACAAGGATCAGCCTAAGGAGGAGAGAGCTGTTAGGGTCCAGTCTCTATTCCATCATCCCAGAAGGACTCCACCACCCCAAAGGTCCCTGTTCGCCTAACTGTGGTTTGAGTATATTCTAGAAGGCACAAACCCACATCAGCTAACTAACTGTCAAAGTTTGTTACGAGTGCCACAGCTGCTCTTGAGTTCCTCTGAAAAGGCTTTATATAAGGCCATAGCTAAAATAATGAGCAGAGAACATTTTCCCTAATATCTTCTTCTTCTTTCTTTCTACTTCTGAGGAGGTTGTGACTCCCTTGAAGTGGGCAGTACCCTATCAGCTTGTGCTTGTCCACACTTCAATCCCAATGCGCGTTCACATGAGGGGTGTGTTTGATGCCATGTCAAGGACTGTTCAACCTAAAAGCTTAAGCTGTTAGGAGAGGTCCCTGAATAGGTTTTTTATTCTCTAACATTAAATAGATAATTTCTTCTATTAAGGAAATGAAGAATATCCTTGATCACTGAATAATATTTCCAAACAAAGTTGTGATATTAATTCATTAATTAGAGACACAAGGCATTATCAGAAATAGCAACGTTAGGATATCTAACTCAGTTGTTGACCTGATTTTCCTTTGGGGAGTGGGCCAATTGGGTTGACCTGCTGGGCCGAAAGCAACTTGGTCAGGTTGCACAAGCTTTGAAAAGTCTTAAAAACTAAAAACTATAGCTATTCATATTCATAGACATGTAAAGTTCATGCATATGTGTGTGAAAATAAGCATAAAATTTAGTTTCAAACATATAAAAGACGCACCTAGAGCCCCCATGTAAATGTATATAACAATAATTTAGATATGAAATATTTAATAAGTATTATGAAAGAAGTGCCAAACCCTGCATATCCTAGACCCAATTTCCCTACAAAGTGACAGGTCAAATAGTCCCATAGCAGCATGTTATACTGCCTCATCATAGATTCACAGTCAAAAGCAATGGAGGAATAAGATCTCTACTGTTGGAGGATAAGTGCTTAAACATGTGAATTCTGTAGTAATAGAGAGATTAGCCGAATACACTAATACAAGCTAAGAGTTGAAGCTGCAGGTTACCAGAAAGAAATACATAAAAAGCATAAATACCTGCTCTATTTTTGAGTAAGCTAATCTCTCTTCCATGCACAAGCAAGTAATATCAAATGCACTTTGGCAGGTCCCAGGAATTTCTTTGTTCTCATGAAGTCCCAAAAATCTAATAAAATATCAAATAACATATTACAGCTTTGGTCATGGAAAATTTTAAGAGTTACCATTCTATAAGCTTGTAGTTTATTGCTGGAATAACAAATAATATAAAGAAAAGAGAACAAGTTCAGCCTAAATTAGTTATCCTCAATTGGTCCTACCAGCCATATAATATACACTAAAAACCAATGCGTTGAACCAGAAACTTAATTAGCATTCATCCTTCGGATGGGATTAACTAGAATCATCATGGATAAAATAGTTTAGTGTCTCATGTACTAAATTCCCTGATTGAAAAGTTCAGGCAAAAGTCAGCTCTTACTTGATAGTTTTAACTGTCTTCATTGCGGTTGCTTTTTCTCTGCAAAGCCCGAGAGTCATCAGCCTTTCTACCATTTCCTTTGCATCAAACATAACTTCATCCAAATTTTCACTTCTATCAGTTTTGAGAAGTTCATTGAGGAAGCTTCCATAAGTTGGCTTCTTCCCTTCTTTCAGCATGGGATGAGCTTCCATGTTGAAGAAACCAATTTTTGCTAGGGTCCCCATGATGTCACTAAATCCTACAAAATGAAGTTTTTAACTAAGATCAAGAAAACCTACAAAGTCGAAGTTTTTAACTAAGATCCAGAAAAAACTTGATATTCTGCATTTTGTAAATTTAAAACTTGATTCCATCTTTATTTTCACCTACTATCCAAGTCAACTAAAAGAAATGAAGTCTCTGAGACTTCTTTTTTCAGTACTTTCTTGGGTTCTCATATTTTGTAAAGAATGCATTGCCCTTTGGTCAGAGTATTGTCTCAGAGTGAATTGAACCAACTGGGTGTGTTTAATCAACAGAGATTTCAAGCTTGGCATCTAAACAACTCATAAACACAGATCATGCCTTCATAACGCAGGGTTCCTCGGAAGATGGTTGATGCTTCCTGTCCAATGCCATACAAGTCCCCATAGACCAAAGAATTCCGATTTGGAAGACATTCCAAGGCAAATGCAGGAAGATCAGGTATTTGGAGCCTTGCTGCTGAATCATATAGTTTGTTCCCTGCAATTTCATATTATTAGTTTATTACATGAACCAGTGAAAAAGAACCTGCCGTAAAAGTTGAGATAGAATAAGTTATGTATATTTCTTATTATTCTGAATAGCTAATGTAATACACTTACTCTTAATCATTTAAAATTCTATCATCTCAAGGGTGACAATGCTTGTAAACTGAGAATTCTACTTACGTGCATAACTCCATTACAAGGAGAAAGTAAGAGCACTTTCAGCATGTGGGTATAGAAAGGATTTGTTATATGTATGCATCTTTTTATTGTTTGCCTGGTGTCCCTCTTCTACCAGTTACTAGATCAAGTTGTTTACTTCCTTATTAACCTCGAGCTATATGCTTTTCTTAAACTTTTTTTGATAAATGCTGTTCTTAACTTATCAATTAAGAGAATTCTTGTAATATTGAATCTAACTTTAATATTCATTGTTTCAAATTCCAACTTCTATAAGTTGATGACATACCATCAATATGTACAATTTCTCCAAGAGATTTATAAGTTGCTGGGTTGCGTCCTGCCCGGATAGCTCCTGCAGGGTTCCAACTAAGAACAGAATTTGTGATAACACAGTAAATAATTTCCATCAAACTAACATCTAAAAATCACAATTATAATTGCCAGGAGGAAAGTCAAACAAAAGAAAACAAAACTTATACACAGATATACAAAGAAACAAGAGAGAAATGCCTTGTTAAAGTTGTCCATATTTCCAATCAGCATCGTGGATTTCTATGATACAGATGCATGTGCACCTGAAGCAGGGAGGGGGGAATTAATTAGCCCCTCCTAGGGCATAATACGTTAGCATAAATATATTGGTTTTACTTCTGGATTAGAACGAGTGTTGCATGGAGTCTCCTAAGTGGATGAAGTGTCCATGTGGGCATCTTTAGATTCAGAGACACTTCAACATAACATTTTCCTTTATACTTATTTGACATAAATGAATAGCTGATCTATACAATGAATTCCATGTCTGTGCAACACTGATCAAAACAACTTCCAATGTCAGTCCTTGTTTTTTCTTCTTGCTGAGTTAAACTCCTCTAAGCATATTGGGTTATGATTCCTGTACCCATGTTCATGCAACATTGATCAAAACAATACTGCCAATTATTTGATGCTAAGATAACATGACAGACAATTTGGTAAAGGAGATTTCTTAGCGCACAGCATATACTGCTTGAAGTTTATATAGAATCCGTAAATCTCACAGTTCAGATTTGCTCTAAAAATTAAGTGGTCTTTTATATGCTGAATAATCTGTGAATCCATTTTATTGCATAATTTATCTCACTTGTTTATCTTGGTCGCATTCATGAAAACAATTAAGGGGACAAGAGGGTATATTAACATTATGAAAGGGGAAACCTTTTTCATCTTGGCACAATATCTGGTGATCATGTTTCTTCTGCAAGTTCGAATGAATATTCCAAATCAATACAGTTCTAAGAAGCATTAAAAATAACTTCATTGTGGAGGGAGGACTTCAGAGAACCAGTAGAGGAGCTAATAGGAAACTTCACTGTATCCCTAAAATTCAGAATGGTGGAAGATGGATTTACTTGGGTGCTAACAAATGTGTATGGTCCAAATAATCATAGAGAGAGGAATGAGTTTTGGGAGGAGCTTCATGGGATACAAGGTTTGTGGGAAGGTCCTTGGTGTTTGGGGGGTGATTTTAATGGAATAAGATTCACAAATGAGTCAAATAATCCTAGGCAGGCCATTACAACTAGTATGAGGAAGTTCAATGACTTCATAAATTCCTGCGAGTTACGGGAGCTTCCTCTACTACAGGCTACCTACACTTGGTCCAACTTCCAAGAAAACCCAATCTGCTCAAAGCTTGACAGATTCCTATTTAATTTGGATTGGGAGAGTCACTGGAGAGGTTTGGTGGCTAAGGCTCTTCCTAGGATAACCTCTGATCACTACCCTATAGAAGTAGGACAAGAACCTCTTGGTAATGGACCTAGACCATTCAGGTTTGAAAATATGTGGCTGACACACCCGGACTTCTTGCCTAAGGTTAAGGAATGGTGGAGTGAAGAGTTGAGAGAAGTGAAATG